ATGTGTATGTGTGTATTGCCTGCATGTAGGTAAGTGCACTTGTGTCGTGCAGTGCCCACGGAGGACAGAAGGGGCTGTCGGATCCCCTGGAACTGGAGTTACAGACAGCTTGAAGCTGCCATGTGGGTGCTGGGATTCAAACCCGGGTCTTCTGCAAGAACAGTCAGTATTCTTAACCACTGAGCCATCTCTCCAGCCCTGGTTCATCATTTTAAAAGAGATTAGGGCTACCAAAAACAAGCTGGCCAGGTGTGTGGTGCACTCCTTTAATCCTAGGCAGAGGCAGGCAGATCTGTGTGTTCTAGGCCAGCCTGATCCGCATGAAAGTTCTAGGCTAGGCCCTGTCTCAAAAAAAAAAGCCAAATATTTGTAGGAAATATGCCTTCAGAACCTCTAAGGAACTGCTCAGACCACATCCATTGCAAGCTTCACTGAGGAAAATTATAAACTCATTTGAAGGACTCCACAGGTCCCCTGTTTGTACAGGGTGGTCTGAGGCATCTCCCACAGATTACTATCATGTCTAGACTGTCCTCTTTTGGGCCTGTTTGTTTCTCTCTCCATGTGTCTCATGCATCTGATGCGCTATAGCTTAGCATCACACCCCATTTTTCTGAAAGCCACTGGGATGGGGTTTAGACTCCTGAGAAAGAAGTAGATTTCAGGTGCTATCTGCTAAGAGCTCCTTAGTCACCATTGTGGTTGAGCTTGTAGGGTAGGAAAACACTCTCCCTGCTCTGTCCCTACTCATGGAGCTTGCACCTCTGCAGTTTCTCCGGATTTGTGCAGACCTCTTCCGCTTAGTGCCTTTCCTGGTGTTCGTGGTCGTGCCCTTCATGGAGTTCCTGCTGCCTGTAGTCGTGAAGCTCTTCCCCAACATGCTGCCGTCCACGTTTGAAACCCAGTCCATCAAGGTGAGGGCACTGGGGCTTTGAGTACACTTTGAAAATGAGTCTAAGGGCAGAGAACATGACTAAGTGGCTAAGCCCTTGCATGCAAACATGAGGACCTGAGTTTAAATTCTCAGAACCACGGAAAAGCTACACTGGTTAGAGCATCTGTAACCCCAGGGCCTGTGTAGCAAGATTGAAGGCGGAGACAGGACAATCCCCAAAGCTTACAGACCAGCTAGATTGGAACATGTGACAGCAAACAGCTGAGACCCATCTCAAATGGGTGGAAGTCAAGGACCCCTCTGACCTACACACACACACACACACACACACACACACACACACACGCACGCACGCACGCACGCGCACACACACACACACACAATGAAATAAAAACATAGAAAAACAAGTCTGAAATTCCTTGCAGACTTCCACACACAATCATGTATATGTTGTCTGGTTCTTTTGTGAGGCATTAGCTGAGTCAAGTGATTGTGTCAGACCCAATGATCCATGAGGCCCAGAAGCCTCACTGTCTGGCCGGTTATGAAACCAGTTTGCTCCTCCTGCTGGCAGGGGCAGGGATGGGAAAGGACAACAGCTTCACACAGACATTTTCTCTTAAAGCCGTGAAATAGTTTTAGTCTGTTGTGCTTAGACTTTGTTCTCTGGAAGGGGTCTGGAGGTGTGAGACCCACATCTTGAGGTGGACGGCAACATAAGCAGGCCCCTTAATGGCGGAGGACTAGAAGGTGGAGGGCACAGCTTTCATTTTGCTCTTACAGGAGGAGAGGCTGAAGAAGGAGCTGCGAGTAAAGCTAGAGTTGGCCAAGTTCCTCCAAGACACCATCGAGGAGATGGCTCTGAAGAACAAGGCAGCCAAGGGGAATGCCACCAAAGACTTCTCAGCGTTTTTCCAGAAGGTGCATATGCCCAGTCAGGCTGACATGCGTATCAAGCACCACTGGGCATTTTCTTCCCTTTATGTTTTTCCTTCCCTCCCTCCCCCTCCCTTCCTCCCCCTCCTTCCTTCCCTCTCTCTTCCTTCCTCCCTCCGTCCCTCCCTTCCTCCCTGCCTCCCTCCCTCCCTTCCTCCCTTTCTTTTCTTCCCTTCTTTTTCTTACTCTGTCCCTCCCTTCCAATGATACTCCACAGACTAAACTCTGCTTATATCCAAACCCAGAGCTTATGCTTACCACCTGCTTCCTGTGTTCAGCCCCACAAGGGAGTTGCACACACATAGACTCTTCCTGCCATAAAACAATGCACTTGGCACAAGCGCCCAGGACACTGCAGTGCAGCCCCTTTCGTGATAGGGAAAAAGCAAGCGCTTACCCCACAGCTGGCAACCCCCAGTCTCCCCTAGAAGACAGCCTGGGTGCTGCTGGCACAGGAGGAATGGTATAGGGGTCGATGGTGCTGTGTGTACCTAGCACAGGCTTAGCAGTGCTGAGTGCCTGAGGAGTAAGGCTCCCTGGAGAGTATGGTGAAAGGTACCAAGCCTTTGCACCCACACTCTCCTAGTTCCTTACTTCCAGCTGGGACCCACAGCTGACTCTGGAGGTAGGAGAACTCGCAGCTCGGATTCAGTGGATGACCTTTGGGATGGCTTCTGCAGATCCGGGAGACGGGGGAGAGACCCAGCAATGAGGAAATCATGCGCTTTTCCAAATTGTTTGAAGATGAGCTGACCCTGGATAACCTCACGCGGCCTCAGCTGGTAGCACTGTGCAAACTGCTGGAGCTTCAGTCCATCGGCACCAACAACTTCCTGCGTTTCCAGCTCACCATGCGGCTGAGATCCATAAAGGCTGATGACAAGGTGAGCCTGGCTGCAGAGATTCAGGCCAAAACTTGAGCTTCTTTCTAGGGTATAATGTGATGTTCTGATAAAGGTCTGGCCCCCCCTTCCATGTCCATACATTGTGTATGTACATTTTACATGTGTCTTATGGTTACAGAAGCAGTGTTGTCAGAGCAGACCTTGGAACTTACTGAGTAGGACACAGCCAATCACTGGTAGTCTTACCTACATCGAGACCACTGGCAGTGTACGTGTCTGTCCACCTGCCTCTGATGAGCACGTGAATGTGCATGCATGTCTGCTGAAGTAGCTAGTGGGCTCAGACAGTCTCGTTTGGCATGACAGTGTGAGTTCTTTTGTTGAGCAAGTGAATTCTCATGACTGCCCAGTTCTTACTGGGAAGAAAATACTCATTTAATTAATACTTTAGCTAATCTTTTGCTGTCCTAAACAACACTGCGTTCATATAAATATCTTTTAACAAACTAGTGACCTAGAATTAGGTTTTCTGAGTGAGGCTGCCAACAAGTCCCGGCCACAGTCTTCCATGTGGCTGCTGCCAGCTGCTGACCTGTGTCCCAGAAGTGTTCTTTCCAGAAGGATTAGTGAGGTACCCTTCTTTCCTCAAGGGAGGTCTTTCATCTTAAGCTCCACTGCTAGGTCTTCCTGGGCAGGCCTTTGGCCTTTCTAGCCAAGCCTCCCTTGCCTTCAAGTTCTGTGTGTTTGTCCTCATTTTGGTCTGACATGACAGTGTCTATCTTTCAGTTGGGATATTTAGCCTCCTTCCCCCACCCCCTTATCTCACATGGTCTGTTCTACTTAATCTCATTTTTGGATCAGTAAGTATTTTAACTGTTCTGCAGCCTTCTGCTAGCTCGTTACTTGGGTAGTTTTCCTGGCCTGCCCCAGGTTTCATGAGTACTTATAGCTCAAGTTGCTGCCAGTTGAAAATACTCAGCTATAGCTGCCCTCCCTGCCTCAGTGCTGCTGGGGTGCTGCCTTCTTGTCTTGTAGCCCAGGTGTGTACCCTATCTGCACTTCTGCTCTCACTCCCAGTTCCTTCCCAGCAGCCCCCTTTGCTGTTTCTCACTGCTCTGGCCCCTGAGCAGCCTCTCAGTCTCTGCAGTCACCTTCTTTCCTCCCTGCCCTGCTGTCGCTGGGTCTGTCCGTCTTCTTTTCTTTCCATCTGTCTTCTTTTTCTCCTTGTGACCTAGGCTGGCCCGGAACTCACTCAATAGCCCAGACTAGTTTTAAACTTGTTGTGGTCCTCCTGCCTTAGACCTCTGAGTGTTGGGGCTGCACGTACGAGCCACTGCGCCTGGCTTCTTCTTTTCTTGTTCTTTTTGTCACTGGGGAAGGGCAGTACTGGGGATTGAACCCAGGGCTTCACGTGCTAGGTGAGCGTTCTAACCCCTGAGCTACAGCCCAGCCCTCTTCTTACTTCTTTCTATTTATTTATTATTTATTTATTTATATTTTGAGACACGGTCTCATCATGTACCTGGCTGGCCCGGAACTCACTGTGTAGATCAGGCTGGCCTCAAACTCACAGAAATCCACCTGCCTCTGCCTCTGCCTCCCAAGTGCTGTGATTAAAGGTGTGCGTCACCGTGTTCAGCTCTTTTTCTTTCTTTTTCCTTTTTATTGGTGTGTGTTATGCACATGTGTGTGCATGCTTGTATGTGTGTGGGGGTATATGTATGGGCACACATGTGTGAGTGCACATGCACACGGAGGCCTGAATATAATGTTGGGACATACGAGAATTATCCTGCATTGCCCTGCCTTACTCAGTGAGGCAGGGTCTCAGTCAAACCCAGAGCTCTCTAGTATGGCTTGCTAACCAGTTTGCTTTGGGGATCCCCTGCTTCTGTCTTCAGAGACTGAAATTGCAGGTGGGCTGCCATGGCTACCCATCATGTATGTGGATTCTGGGGATCCAAACTCTGGTCCTCATGCTTACACAGCAAGTGTTTGACCACTGAGCTCTCTCCCATACAGCAAGTATCTAACAACTGAGCTCTCTCCTGACACAGCAGGTGTTTGCCCACTGAGCTCTCTCCTGACACAGCAGGTATTTGCCCACTGAGCTCTGTCCTGGCACAGCAGGTGTCTGAACACTGAGCTCTGTCCTGGCACAGCAGGTGTCTGAACACTGAGCCCTCTCCTGAGCCCTTTCTTTTTGAGATGGGGTGTAACTGAAATTGGCATTCAGCTCTTTTTTTTGAGGGGGGAGTCTTTTTTGAAACAGGGTCTTGCTGTAGCCCCAGTTGGCTTGGAACTCACTATGTAGACCAGGCTGGCCTCGAACTCACAACAAAGATCTGCATGCCTTGGCCTCTGCCTCCCAAGTGCTGGGACTACAGGCCTGCACCACCATGCCCAGCTTCAGCTCTTTTTAAAAATATTTATGACTGGGCGTGGTGGCGCACGCCTTTATTCCCAGCACTGGGAGGCAGAGGCAGGCGGATCTCTGTGAGTTCAAGGCCAGCCTGGTCTACATAGTGAGTTCCAGGACAGCTGGGGCTACAGGGAGACCCTGTCTAAAAAGACCAAAAAAAAAAATCTTATTTATTATTTTTATTTTTTTTTAATGTGTATGCATGGATGCTTGCATATAGGTAAGTGTATCTGTGTTGTGCAGTGCCCACGGAGGATGGAAGAGGCTGTCAGATCCCCTGGAACTGGAGTTACAGACCATTGTTAGCTGCCATATGGATGTTGGGATTCGAACCTGGGTCTTCTACAAGAACAATTGGTGTTCTTGACTGTTGAGCCATCTTTCCAGCCCCAACTTCAGCTCTCTCTTTTTTTTTTTTTAAAGGCGGGGAGCTGGAGAGATGGCTCAGTTGTTAAGAGCACTGACTGCTCTTACAGAGGACCTGAGTTCAATTCCCAGCACCCACATAGAGGCTATGAACCATCCTTAACTCCAGTTAGCTGCCATGTGGGTGCTAGGAATCAAACGCAGGTCCTCTGCAAGAACAGCCAGTACTCTTAACTGCTCAGCCATCTCTCCAGCTCCCAGCTCCTCAGTTCTTTTTTAGAAGTTTTTTTTTTTTGCTCTTTTAGAGACAGGGTCTTCCTGTAGCCCCAGCTGTCCTGGAACTCACTGTGTATACCAGGCTGGCCTCAAACTCATAGAGATCTGCCTGCCTCTGCCTCCCAAGTGCTGGGATTAAAGATTAAAGACATGTGCCAGCATGCCTGGCAGAACTTTTTTTTTTTTTAACATTTATTTGTGTGTGTGTATGTGTGTGTGTGTGCGTGTGCGTGCATATGTGTGCATTGCACACATGTGGAGGTAGAACAACTCTCAGGAGTTGGTTCTGAAAATCAAACTCAGATCATCAGGCTTGGCAACAAGTGCCATCTCAATACCCCTGGCCTTCCTTCAATTCTTGATCCTCTTGCTTTCACCTGAGGAAGGGTTGCAGGCATGTGCCACCACCTGCCCTCGGCACTCTGTTTTTACTTTTTATTTTGGGCAGGGTCTCACTTAGTTACCAGACCAGTCTTGAACTTTGAATCTTCTTTCCTCTGCCTCCCAAGTCCTGGGATTGCAGGGTGCTCCACCAGGCCTGGCTCATTTTTCTTTCTTAAACATACTAATCATAGCTCATGTCCAGTATTGTCGGACTGCATAGTCTGCAGGTTTTTATCTTTGTTTTCCTTTGGTTTCATTTGTTTGTGGGTTTTTTTGGTTTAGTTG